GGCAAGCTATCCGTTGTGTATTTGATATGCCAAAACCAGTAACTACAACTAGTCTCATTAAGGTGACAAAGGGATTCTAGAAAAAAATATTTCAGCACAAATATTTTTCTTGCTTTTTGAGACTCCTGATAATTGTCAATGAACGGGCCATTTCTGTTTTTAAATAAAATAAAATAAAACTAAGAATCTGGCCATGGGAGCAGTTCTGATGTTTCTCTAAGACAGTGTACCAAAAAATCAAAGTGAATTTGAATATATTATTCTCCCCAGAATAGAGTCATCATATACATTCATATGTGAATTGTTGAGAAATATGTTGTCAACAGGTATTCCATGGTGATGTGTGTCCTTAGCATAAATCACTGTCACTCTCACTGTCACTATCCTCTGGTTGTTCATCAATTTTGCTCGATTTGCTCGAGCGGCTACCAGTAATGTCTCCATTGTGAGTAACAACAGTAACAGTTGTTACTGTTTTTTGGCAGATGAATATGCCACAGGGAGCTTGGCAGTCTCTGCCATACAGACAGGATACTCTGAGTAGCTTCTGGGCTCTCTGAGAGGGACGGAGGAATCGAAACCTGTAGGATAACAGTTTTGTCCTTCCTGCATTGCCTCAGGTAATTTAGGTATATTGGGTTGCTCCCATCAAGTTTTCCCATTCCTCTGTGTTTATTTGTAACTTCTTTCTTTGTGCTCTGTTGACTTGTAAATATTGTTTTTCTGTTCTCCCTAAGTCCTTTGCATAGTTTATTCAGAGCAATGTCCTTTTTGTATGGACACAAGAAGACATGCTTTTGTAATGTGACTCTCAGTGATATTTCCCTCCCGGGCATCTGTTCTGTCACCTAAGCCTCAGCTGCCTTTACTTCCTAGTGCCCCCAAAAGCAGGGTCCTGAAGAGGGACTGGATGGAACCAGGGCAAGAGGTAAGCTATGTGCTACCCTGGCATCCAGATGGGCCTGGCCAAAGTGCCATAATGCTTAACTGTAAGTAAAGAGCTTGGTCATGGACAAATGCTGTCATGATCCAAAAAGTAATAACTAGATTTGGACCCTGCTAGGAATTCCCTGTTAGGAATGATTAATCTGGCCTGAGTGCTATAGTCTGAGATCTGTGGCAAGATGTTCCCAGAAGAGCTGCCCTACAAGCCTCAATGTTATCTCTTACTGTGTCCATACAAAAATAACTAGTATTGAGATGTTTTTTTATAGTCTCTGAGTCTTGGCCATTTATGGGATTACACGGCGCCAGGGGGCCAGTTGGTGGGTGTGACCCCCGCCTACTGGAATTCGGAGGATCTGGGTGGAGGATGCTCAGCCCCGATCCGAGTAGGCTTGGAGATCTCAGCCCCGGGACCCGCTTGCCTTTGTTCCTCAGAGACTATAAAAACCAGCTTCCGGAAGAGAACAGTGCAGTCAGTCTCCTGCCCCTGCGCCTGGCTGTCCTCCCCAGGGCCCCTTGGAGGGAGCAGGTTGAGCTTTCCTCCCCGCCCCGACCAGGGCTCCGGCAGCCGAAGACCTCCAGGATCAGCCACCACCATGCTGAGACCACTCTCCGCACACCTGAAGGTTCCGGCAGAGGAACAAAGGCAAGCGGGTCCCGGGGCTGAGATCTCCAAGCCTACTTGGATCGGTGCTGAGCATCCTCCACCCAGATCCTCCGAATTCCAGTAGGCGGGGGTCACACCCACCAACTGGCCCCTTGGCGCCGTGTAATCCCATCAACGGCTAAGACTCAGAGACTATAAAAACAAGCTCCTGGAACATCTTATTATGACATCTTATCTCATTCCTACTTTGGACAAACTGGCAGGCTACTGAATGTAACCTGTCCACACGGCAGAGTCTGGCAAACTCCCCGTGGCGTACCCAATATGCCAAATACCGATAACAATGAGGGGTCTCATTCTCCTAAAGATCTTTGAATATAGCACTTTCTTAAAAATCTCAGGGCTAGGATGAAGGAGACGTTACTGCAGGCTCGAGGCAATCGACGAATAACAGGATGGTCGTGATTTGTGATTCGTGATTGAGATGTTGATAGAGTTATTGGACTAGGGAAAAGAGAAAAACATCTTAAGGGTTATTTTGCCCTTGGGCAGTCAGGCTTTGGAATATCCTAGGTGATGTTCCCTTTGAACTTGATTTTGCTACCTGACTGGGTGCAGTGTCAGCCTGGAGAGATAAGGGAGTTGGAGAGGCGGGGGTGGGGGGGGGGGGTGAGGAGAGAGAGCAGGGCAGCAGGCAAGATGGACTGCAGAGAGGTTAGCAAGAGGGAAAGAGAGAGAATAATGTAGAAGAATACAGGAGCAAGCAGTTGGAGAGAGAGGAGAGGAGAGACAGGAGTGAAGGAAGAGAGGATTGGAATAAACTGCAACGAACACCAACCAGCCTGGCGCTCTTTATTCCTTTGCCTGCCCTTGGCCAACAGCCGTCCCAATCCAGGCCACACACAGTGGCTCAAGAGCACGAATGTGGGTGGTGAGATAGAACCATCCAGAGAGCCCGCGAACACACAACCTTCTATGTGCATAGTTTTTACAGAACCTGGGTCGGCCTCATGCAAGGCAAACGCCCTACTCGCTGTGCTATCACTCTAGCCCCCTCAGCATAAATAAGAAAAAGAAATAATAAAATTCCATATTTTATGTAACCCTATACCAATTGATGCCATTTATCAGTTGCCAGCAACTAAGAAATGTGGGTTTTACTTTAAAATGTGGTTCTTCTTTGGGTGAGAGGAACAAATACAGATGATGTCATTCATATGTAAGGGAATTACAAATGAACAATGGCAAGAACTTGAGAGCTGGTCTACAGAACAGGGAGGGAGGCAGGTACTAGTGAATGTTTGGAAAGGGACCTTGGGACCTACGTGGAGGGAAGCTGGCACTCTTGTGGAGAGTGTGTACTGGAACATTGTATGCCTGTTACTACCATTAACAGTATTGTGAATCTCCATAACAATAGAAATTAGGGAAAACTTTTAAACTAGCATAAGTTCTAGAAAATATCAATAGTGACTAAAAAAGAGGTACATACATATAAGATTCCTTATTTAGAATATATTCTGTTTTTCAAAGAATAAATTTTAAGCATGCCATAAGGAAAACAAAAATAATTCTCTTTTGGGGGTGTTTCTTTCCTTAGAAATTGGTAAATTTATTACTCTCATCATGTTGTTTACTTACAACATATTACAAGTGTATAACATAGTACCATGGATAATTTTAGATATACATTGTAATACTTTTACATATCACATAATAGAGATATAAGCATATTATAAATAGATATATGATACTGATAAAGCTGACACTGCTTCTAGTCAAATTACTTTCTCCCTCTTCCTGGTAATTATTATACACAAGGACATTAACAACTGGAAGATTTCCAATTTAGGCATGTCAGTGTTCTAGTTTTCTCTCATTTTGTTCCTTGCCTGAAGGCATTTCTTAATAGGTATCTTGCCTTTTGATAACTGTTTGACAGGTTGAGAAGCTGGTCTAGAGTTGGATGTGTCAGAATGCAAGTGAATCAGATACACTCCTCACACAGAATGGTTTTTGCTTTCAGTGGTTATTAACATTAAAAAATGAGATAAACGAATATCTTATTTTTGCATTATTTTCATTATTCTGAAATCCAAACAACAAATTAATGGGTTGAATTTGTATTTGAATACAGAAAAGTTTGTGTTGGGACTGTGATTAACCTTCTCCATGAAAAATTCACTTCCGGTGATTAGGTAGGGTAATAAAGATGTGTTTAAAGTTTTAGATATAGATGATTTGAGTCATTACAAAAATTACCATGTTAACATAGCTACTAAACAAAAAGGTTAGGCATTAGAGACCTAGATATTTGCCTAACTCTGTAATTACTTCTCTTTCATGGTTTTTAATCAACTCACCCCCATCCCCTACCCCCACAGCAACCTTAGATGTTCTTAAGAAATATACAAGTTATATATGTGAAAGCAATAAAAGTGCAACAGAACATCATCAATGTAAGGTCAATACTAGGTCTATTACTATTTAGTTATTAATTATCATTATTTCAGCTGCTACATCATTAATTTTAACATGTCTGAGAAAAAAGTTTAGAACATATGCCTTCAATGTGAGAAGCATTTGTTTTTGTGCCACTTTTAATTCTGTCAAGTAAGTTGATCTTTTTCTTTATAAATATAGTCTTCATTATGTTTCAAATTAAGAATGGTTGTATTGGTTCTCACTTCTAAGATTTAGGTTTTGTCCTAATCACTTCTAGGCATAATAAAATTTACTATTAAATGAAAAGGAAATGCTTTAGTTGAAAATATTGAGTCCTGCTAAGCCTTAGCTTGACTAGTGATGCTTAGATAATCACTGCATGTCCATGAGCCAACTTTCCTCTAAACCTAATTTGATGGTATCTATTTAGAGGATAACTGGAAAAGTTGCAGTTCTGAATCATTTTATTTTTAACATGTTACATATGTTGTTGTTGTAACTGTACCTCATAGAAATTTATGTAGTGACTCCTCTAATGACGGATAATACCCTCAAAAATTTTATATAGAGAATAAAGGGAGAAATAAAAAATTGCTATCTTTTTTTACTGCATGAGGAGGTAACATGTAGAGAAAAACCATAAAAATCAAATAGCTTAAATTATGTTTTCAAATATAAAATAATAAATGTTAAAATCCTCTAATTTCTAAGGATATTTTACACATAAACAAGAAAGATTAAGCACAAAAAATTCTGGGGACGTTTCTTTAAACCTTTCATGAAACCATGACTATGTATTGCTGCTGGAGATATATATATACATAAATAGAGAGAGAGATGTGTATTTATTTACAGAAAGTACGTTTGATCTTCATAATTATTAGATACAAAATATAATACAACTATTATTTCATTAATATTTTTATTCTCTTCATATATCTTGTGCATTAAACATGAAGTCATTTGGACCTCTTTTAATCCTTTTGTTTCTTTTTGTCCTTAGGTGTTGTACAGATATTTTATGCTGTTTAATCTTCATACTGTTCATTTTTGGCTACATTCTTTTAGGACTTGTGGGTGAGTACATACAGGTATAGAAGATACTTAACATTTGCTAATGGAACAACTTAAGTCAGTGTTGAATTTTAAACATTAATTATTTTCTTCCAAAAGCACTTATATTGGAGGCTGGAGGGATAGCACAGTGGGTAGGAGATTTGCCTTGCATGCTGCCATCCAGGTTCAATTCCTCTGCCCCTCTCGGAGAACCCGGCAAGCTACCAAGAGTATCTTGCCCATACTGCAAAGCCTGGCAAGCTCTCCGTGACGTATAGTATATGCCAAAATCAGTAACAACAAGTTTTACAATTTGTTGTGAGATGTTACTGGTGCCCACTGGAGCAAATTGATGAAAAATGGGAGGACAGTGCTACAGTGCTATCTTTTCCTGAGGAAATAGATTTCACCAGTTTTCAGAGGGTACACAACACTGTAAGAAATTAACACAGGGCCAGAAAGATAGTACAGCAGATAATTTGACTGGCATGCAAGAACCTAGATTCAATCCCTGGCTTGAATGTTTCGCTGAGTACCACCAGGAGTGATACCTGAGTGCAGAGACAAGATTAAGTTTTGAGTGAAGGTGGGTGTGGCTTAGACACCAAAACCAAAATCAAAAAAAGCATACGAACCCAAAATAAATTATACCATGACAAGTAAATGCATATTATTTTGTGGCATAAATAAGTAAATAGTTATACCAACGGGGAAGACAAAAAACTTAATAGTTTATAGTCTCTTTTAAATGGTTTCACTTTTGAAATTCCAGCAAGCAGCTAAGTATGTTCATGTTGTTGTTTACTAAGCTGGAACATAGATTTCAATTTTGCTAAAAGTAACAGCTGACCTTTATTTTTAATAAACAAAAAAAGAAAGGATCATTACTAAAAATATTACCAACAAATTAACTGGTATATAATTCATATTGTCTTTGCCTGCCAGGAAAAGATATCCTGTGCTTTAGTCAGGCTAAAGATTTTAATATGAAAATGAAAATGAGGACAAATATATTCTTTTAAAAACACCAAAGTAATCAATGTGAATACTTTCTGTTAAATGATTTCATAAATGCATATGAAGGTATCATGTGTCCCCATAGGAATGTTTTGGCTGAGGATAAAGAAGGAGCAGAGAGCATCTCCTGAGAGGTCCTAAGGAAGCCTGGGGTGCCCATTCAACCCTGTACTATCTCTCTGGTCCCTCACTGGGAACCTAAATCTTATCCCTTAGATCTGATTTAGGAAAATTAAATATATTATTTTTAGTGGAAAAGCCAAACAGTAGGTTCTAATAACTAACGGCTTGAAGATAATGTGGAAAGCATTTTTTCTGTACTAGTAGGAACAAAGGGCTGTGCCTCCATTCTGTGTCAACAATAGAAAATACTCTTACTTGTTCTTTGAAAGATTTTGAAAGAGATTTTTATCATTCAACAAGAGAAAATCTTTGAGAATAGCTATTAAAAGTACTTTCCAGTTTGCTGCAACTTGGATGGAATTGGATGGTATCATGCTGAGTGAAGTGAGTCAGAAAGTAAAAGTCATATGTTGCTCATGTGTGGAGTAAAAATCAAAGAAAGGGATCAGACCATCCCCAAGGGAAACAAATCTTTAGATATGACCATTGAATGGGAAACTGAGGGGATGTGGGGATAAAAGAAAGGGAATATCAGAAAAAGAAAAGGGAATTTTGAAACACTGGTGGAAGAATTTCTGTATTACTCTCAACTCTACAACTATAAAATAATTACTTAAGTAGTATAAATGAAGACAGTGCAATTTTAGAAACTAAAACACTTAAAAAAACCTTTAGAAGAAAAAAATTGTTTTAGCAATACTATGAAAAAACTACACAGAACTACAGAATTTAAAAAATTAGCCAGGGGCTGGAGTGATAGCACAGCAGGTTGGGCATTTGCCTTGTACGCGGCCAACCCGGGTTCGATTCCCAGCATCCCATATGGTCCCCTGAGCACTGCCAGAAGTGATTTCTGAGTGCAAAGCCAGGAGTGACCCAAGCATTGCCAGGTGTGACTCAAAAAGCAAAAAAAAAAAAAAAAAAAAAAAAAAAAGAAGAAGAAGAAGAAAAAAAACCAAGCCAGAAAATTAAGAGGAGAGTGAATAAGAGAGGAGCATAAATCACCACCACTAAATGATGTACACTGAGGTATCTAGAACATTCCTTTGGTATTTCTTCAAAGTATTTTACTCCCAGACAATAATGCAATTGTAACACGGTGCACGTTGTTTAAATAGAATGTTAGTTGACTTTTTTCCTTCTACAAATCATAAAATTTTTAGCTTCTTTGACTTTGAGACACATCTTCATCTTTCTTATCTACATAATTCTCTTTGTTTTTGTTTCTTGATACACAATCAAAATTTCTTGCATATGAAATGGAGATGTGGCATCAAGCAGACCTAAGATTTTTTCATCTTTGGTGGACTTGGGGTAATTTCTTAGCCCCAGTTTTCTTACCTATAAAATATGAAAACTCCTACTTCCAGGGCTATTGTAAAGACTAAGTGAAATAATATCCTACTATACCAGTAATGCTACATAATAGCACTGGGCAGTGTTTTGTGTTCTAATGTTGTATGATCTAGTAGTTCAGAATTTTAATCATTTGCTTTTTTTTCCCATTTTTTTAATGAATCACCATGAGATATAGTTACAGACTTACACAAACTTTCTTGATTATGCTTCAGTCATACAATGTTGGAGTACCAATCCATCCACCAGTGCCCATTCTCCACCACCAATGTTCTCAGTATCCCTTCTGCCACCCCACCCCTTTCCCACCCCCTGCCTCTGTATCAGGCACATTCCCTCCCACTCCTTTTGGGTGTTAAATCACTTGCTTTTAAGTTTAATTTTCTTTTTTTTCTTTTTTTATTAGTGAAACACCATGAGGTACAGTTATAGACTTATAAATTTTTGTTCTTGGGTTTCAGTTATACAATGATCAAGTACCCATCCCTCCACCAGTGCCCATCCTCCACCACCACGGGTCCCAGCATCCCCCCCACCCCCATCACCCCCGTCCCACCCTGCCTCTGTGGCAGGGCATTCCCCCTTGTTCTCTCTCTCTTCTTTTGGGTACTGTGTTTTGCAAGGCATTGAGTGGCAATCATGTTTGGTCTATAGACTACTTTTACCATGCTTCTCCCACCCTGGGAGGGTCCTCACAACACCCTTTATTTGGTGCTCTCTTCTCTATCTGAGCTTCCTTTTCACCTAGCACGTGTGGCTGGCCTTCAAGTCATGGAGCAAAATTCCTGGTACTAATCTCAGCCATTCCTGGGTGTTAGTCTCCCTTTTTGTTGCTTTATGTTCCCCAGATGAATGCAATCTTTCTGTGTCTATCCCGCTCTTTCTGAATCATTTCGCTTAACATGATACTTTCCATGTAGTACCACTTGTATGTAAATTTCATAACTTCATCTTTAATTTTCTTAAGTATAATTTACTGTCTTGTATTGCAAACCATAATCTAGGTTAGTATAGTTTAAATGCACACAGGAATTTCATAAGGACCTTATATTGTGTTTGGAAGGCCTATTGCACAATGGAGAATAGTCTCTACTCCCATATCTCAAAATCAGTCATTGTAATCCCAAAAAAGAAACACCTGCTATCTTTGTATAGAGTTTATTTGGGAAAGCCACTACTGCTCTCTCCTGTTGACAGAATACAAGGACAGGAGAGAAGTTCACAACACTGTTCCACATGGAGCAAGATAAGAAGTTCGTCTTTTTATTCAAGACATCCAGATTCATTTTGTAAAGACAGCAGTTCACCTAAGGGAATTGAAGAGTAAATGTTCCTAAATGAAGGACTACAATATTGGATTGATTTAGAGATTTTCCCAAAATCAATCCTGATGCCAACTAATTAAAATGAGTGAATGAAAAACTGCATGTATGCCATATGTATGCTATATTTACAGCTTTAATAGCCTGTCTCTAATATAAGCATAACTCTTCAGTTACATCCAGTGTTGGAAAAATGAAAGAAAAAAAAGAATGAAGGAAAGAGATTGGCAGAGGTTGCTAAGAAATTGAAGAATCTTTTACAAGGAAACAATGTGTGTGTGTGCCTTCAGCTGAGGAAAGGCAATGTTAAGTCAGTCTCACTAACATGTTGTAAAGCTAACGTGTTGTAAATAGTCTGGCTTCTTTCATTGCCATCTTTGTTAGGTCAGGATCTCCTTAGCTTTATCTTGCATTCCTACTCTTTTCATATGAAGTATTGCCATGAAAGAGCCATGTTTCTCACAAATTTTGCTGAGAAGAAACTGTTTTTACCCTTTATGTGGAATACTGCCAGTTAGGGAACAACAAAGGGACTTGATACTCGACTGCTGAAAAGCAGAGCCTCCATTGAAGTGCAACTGAGTCTGGGTAAAAGGTACTCAAATCTTGAATGATCAAACTAATATTTATGATAATAGCCCTCCTTTTCCTTACTTCACTGATGATTGCTAATCACTTATTTTACTAACTAGAGAAAGGAATATTTATGATGTACATTATTCTTTACAATCCTTGTGTTAACATTAGATCTATAATAAAAGCATAATTTTAACAGTCATAAATTTTTATTTGTTTTTTCAAAAGGGTTTCTGTTGAGCAGATTAGTTAATTGTTGCATTTACCAAGCCACTACTTGGAACTATGGTTCGGAGTTTTTGTTTCCAATCTTGCTAAGGAACTGTTAACAATATTCACTGGATTGATAGGAGATTAACAAGAAGGTGTTTAAATGCAAAGAAACCCAGAACTCTCACCATGAGAAGTTGCATGTAAGCATTCTGGTCAACAGGCTTGACTGAACTTTCAAAGAGTGTCTTTTGTCACCGACTGACTTGGTTTTTAAACATTTAAAGTCCTAATCAACATCTGACTGAGAGATCCCAAATGATCTCACACAATAAAGTGGTTGTACTAAGTTCATTATGAGGAAAGATGTAGCAACAGCTAGCAAATAAAATTTGATGCCTTGAAAAATGAATACTG